GGCATCCCATGGGCATCCCATTCATATCCCATGGGCATCCCACTGGCAGCCCATGAGCAACCCATTGGCATCCCAGGAGCATCCCATTGGCATCCTATTGGCATCCCATGAACATCCCATTGGTATCCTATGAGCATCCAATGAGCATCCCACGAGCATCCCATTGGCATCCCACTGGCATCCCATGTGCATCCCACAAGCAACCCATTGGTATCCTGTGGGCATCCCATTGGTATCCCATTGGCATCCCATTGGCATCCCCTGAGCATCCCATGAGCATCTGGGGACCCCGGTCCCACGGTGGGGTTTGGGGGGATGCGGTTGGTGCTGGCAGCACTTTTTGACCCAAATATGGAGGATTTCACCCCAAAAAGGGGTGGGAATGGGGGTTCTGGAGCCCGCCCATGGGTGCTCCGAGGACCAGCATCATCTGCTCCCACAGCCGAGGAGATCGCCATCAGCTGGCCACGGATCACGGCGTTCGCTGAATCCCATCGGAGACGAGGGCTGGTGTCGGGTAAGTGCTGGAATTCCGGGTGGAAACACGCCAAATTTGGGTGAATTCCTTAGTTTTGGTGGAGAACCCCCTCCATTTTGGTGGAATTCCTTAGGATTCTTGAGGAGCACCTCCAAATCTGGGTGAATCCCTTAGGATTGATGCAGAACCTCCCAGTTTTGGGTGAGTTCCTTTGGATTGGTGGAGAACATCCCAGATTTGGGTGAATCCCTTAGGAATGGTGGAGAACATCCCAGATTTGGGTGAATCCCTAAGGATTGATCCAGAACCCCTCAATTTTGGGTGAATCCCTTAGGATTGGTGGAGAAGCCCCCAGTTTTGGGTGATTTCCTTAGGATTGGTGGAGAACATCCCAGTTTTGGGTGAATCCCTTAGAAACAGTGGAGAACATCCCAGATTTGAGTGAATCCCTTAGGAACGGTGGAGAACATCCCAGATTTGGGTGAATCCCTTAGGAATGGTGGAGAACGTCCCAGATTTGGGTAAATCCCTTAGGAGTGGTGGAAAACATCCCAGATTTGGGTGAATCCCTTAGGAATGGTGGAGAACGTCCCAGATTTGGGTAAATCCCTTAGGAGTGGTGGAAAACATCCCAGATTTGGGTGAATCCCTTAGGAACGGTGGAGAACGTCCCAGATTTGGGTGTCTGTGGCTTTGTCCAGGTGTAGAAGCTGAAGGAGAACAGGGGCAACCGGAGCCCACCCAGCTCCAGCCCTCGGGGGGCTCCAGCTCCGGCGATGGGGGGGTGAATCCCGACCTCCGGCGCCAGCTGGGCCTGATCCTGCAGACCGCCGGCAGGAGCCAGGTGGAGAAGATGCTGCGGGAGCTGGTGCGGGAGCAGGGACAGGCCGGGAAGCGCCGGAGCCGCAAGAAGACCCCCAAGGATGGAGGTAAAGGGGGGTGATGCCACCGTTAAGTCCTTCTCCGTGTCCCCATAGACCTTCTCCATGCCCCCATAGACCTTCTCCATGTCCCTATAGACCTTCTCCATGTCCCTATAGACCTTCATCATGTCGCCATAGACCTTCTCCATGTCCCCATAGACCTTCTCCATGTCCCCGTAGTCCTTCTGTATGCCCCCATAGACCTTCTCTTGGGGGCATATGGTCACCCCAACCCAGCCTTAAGAACT